TCTTTTTCACTTGCATTCTTGCATATTCAAAATCAGAATACCTTTATTAGTCCCACAGAGGGGACATTTGCAGCGTTACAGCAGGAAAGAGCCACAGACAGCTTAGTGTTGCATATCTTACATGCGTTAAAAAAAGTACTAAGTTATAATATAATAAACAACATGCTAAAAAAAGATAAAAAGTTACATAATTTTCAAAAATACAGATCAAAAACAAATCAAATCCTATTGACATAAATCCAGCAATAGTTTGCATTCATTCTCTTCTTCAATTCAATGTGTTATTATTTATAAACTCATTTAAGAAGCAGTTTAAAGATTATTGGACTGCCTATCTTATTGTTAGTATGCAGGAAATCACAGTGGAAATGACTTTTGCCATACTACTCTTATCTTAAGATATGTCTATGAACATATAAATATTCAACCCATGTTTGTCATTCTCTTATATTTCGATGCAAATGCAGATGCACAATAATTTATCTATTTTTAGTACTATTAAGATAACTACTATAGGGGGACTGTGCATCAAGCTTTGGTAATAGTATTCACTGTTTAAGTGCTTTTTAGTAGTAACATGGGAAATGGAATTTGGGCAGATCCATTAAGATTGTGCGATTTTCTGCTCTAACTAACGTACATGCCATAATTGATGTTGAGCAGAAGCTAGGAATTAGGAACAACTTTGCCAAGTACGACTTCCACTCATGCAATTGCAATAAATGTCAGCCCCAAACCAATGTACTGTTCCACATTCCAACTCATTGCAGCATGGAATCAATTTAAACTTCCAAAAAAGAATTACTGTTTTTGAAAAGGGATATAGTTTCTTCATATTTGGTCTTTATATGGCTCAATACAAATCTGCCTGTATTGAGTATTATACTAACACTGAAGTAGCTTTTGAATAGTTGTATCTGGATGACCCACAACAAACTGTGTTGTGGGTCATCCCTTAAGGTATTGTATAATATGGCATTATAATGTTTTCCGCATACTATGAGTTAGACAATGGAGGATTTTAAAATTAGTTTACAGCTAACAGCAGAAGCTCATCACATATAAATGATAAGTAAACTAGGTGAACTGATTGTACATTCCTTGCCAATTCCAATTTGTTTTAAATGTTTGCTGCTGATTCCAATATCAGTTTTTTCTTATAACTATTTGCTTTCAAACACACATTTTCATAACTTTTCTTCAATGGAAAATTGTAATCCAAGTGTCTGATCATAGTTAAGCTTGACTTTTGAAAAACTACATCAAGTCACAAGACCTTCTCGTACTTTAACTAAATGAGCTCGATGATTGGCTGTTCTAGCAAGTGGCTCTTTTCTTAATTCGGCAGACACATTGGGCGCATATGCCAGCAATTGTTCATAGTGGAACGGTAGTGACCAACACAACATTTAGCTAAAACAAAGTTATTGAGCTGGAACAGATAAACATCGTCCACTGCCATTAACAACCATCTTATTTGCCGATAGTCCTATGGAGGTCCACAAGGAGATGCATCCCAAATAAGATGTAATTATCTGACTTTGAAATAAGCCTGGAGCCTTTCTAAGTAGCCAACTTTCTAAAATACTTGTGAATTTGATTACAAAGTGACTCAAATGCATATTTCTAAATTTGCATCTTCAATTCTTGCAATCTTTCCATCACAATCATGGTCTTCCTCTGTCTGTTAACCTCAAATTGCCTGTTTGTCCATACTGGACAAGCAATATGTCTCTCCAGAACTTAAGTATACAGAGTGACACATTCTGCCAGTAATGTAATGCACTTTTGTTTTTGTATTCATGTCATTCTCTTGCTGTCATTTCAAAAACCTTGCCCAAAGTCAAACAGTAACTTCTCATGCATATACCAAACAAATCACAATATTTGGAGTTCATGTGTGTGCTCTTGTGATGATTTGTGTAAATCGCTGAGGTTAGTATCAGGTTAAGGTATCGGTATTTTTAGTTTTTCCAAACGAGATAGGATGACAGTGTATATGGATATTGTTTGATGTTGTCATTCACGACCCGTTTCTTCTGCCATCCGCTCACAATCCCCCGCTGCGTCTGTTAAAAAACCCAGCCCCCCTTTTTGGCTTCACTACAGCTAAGCAGGGGACAGCACTATAAACGTGAAGAACTGTCACTGACATTGACAGATTGAAAAAGTCGCTTCTGTGCTCATGTTATTCCATCAGCTGTTTCTCTTTCAAAATGAATCAGCAAAACAGTTTTTCAGTTCCTAGCATCCCCTCCGCAATCAATCAGCTAACCTTTTCCTCACTTAAACGGTTCTGTTTTTTTCTATAGGACTATACAATGTGTATTTCCCCGTTGATTTGTTTCAATCATAGTTAAGTCTTGTGTTTGTGAGGTGTTGACACAGTTGACTGCATATTTAATAAGATAGCGTGTGGGTGTAGCTGTGAGGCGTTGCAAAATACGGAGAAAGGCAGATGCACTGAGAGCAGGTGTTCAGCTGTATTAGCATAACGTTGTCAAATTGTGGTAAATATACCACCACAAAATCCAAATTCCAGTTTGTATATGAAGAAACAGTGTTTCAGCCAAATTCGCTGTGGGTATGTCTGTGGGGTGCTAGCTGGTCTGGCGAATAAAACTTAAGATTAGTCATCCAGAACAAACCATTTGTATTGTCTCAACCGTCTTAGGGTATATGCATTTTTATCAAAAGTGCTTTAGACATCTTCCAAGTTGCTCTAACCTGCAACTCAAAATGTATCTGACTTCGTAAAAAGTACCGAGATGTATATTGTGTATCGCCATACAGCATAAATACAGAGATTTTGGTTTAATTTCTTGGAATGAGGGAAGGCCATGTATTATTGGTGATTCTCACAAGTGTAGCAATACAAAAGTGCATGTAATAGTAATCTCCTTTCAGCTAAAGCATGGTTCCGTGGCCAGCTAATGTCCACTTAACTTTTCATAAGTAAAATGTAATATGCATGAATGAACACTAATGTTTAATCATGAGGAATATGATTTCCTTCTACTGCCAATATGTGTTTTCTTACATGTATGTTGACAACCCATATGGAAGAGTTCACTTAGAAGTGAAGGTACTCTTCGTTCATGTTTAATTTATGAAGGACCTTGTATCCTAAATCAGCGAAAGCTGAGAGAAAAAAAGGGAAAGTCAACCATCATCTAATAATGTGGTAAAAATACTCAACTATACTAAAAAGTCATTTACTAAATGTAATCATTTCCAGCATAACTAATGGCCTGCTGTTGTTCTTAGTATTTAATGCATTTTTACCCTAATAGTCTCCACCAAGAGAAATTATTTATATCATTCTCTATATAGAGTTTAATAATCACCCACATTTATAATTTTAGTAATTCACCAAATATTAGTGCTGCCTACTAGAATTTACAAACGTCATGCAGGTTGCATCGTGTATCATTAAAATCCACTAGACCTTGAAACCGTCTATAATATTAATAGCATAATTAAACACTTGTTGCCACTTCTGTTTTATACATTTCCACAATGTTTACAATTCCCACCCTCACCTACCTCCTACTTTGAAACCATTGGCATTGCAGCCTGTTCATACAACATCATTCCTCCCTTTACGCTATAGTAGACAAGCTTCTCATTGTTAATTGTCAAATCTGTAGCTGTTAATAGCAAAGCGGCTACTTTAAGAAACAGAGTAGGGAACAGACATGTGCCTGAGGGGAGGTAAAAGTAAATTTGAAAGCATATGAATATCCTTTGTCGAAGCGCTACTCAGTGTGAGACCAGACCAGAGCCCTGTGTCAGGGGTTTGTCCTTTGACATATAGTGCAGTCTGAATGTATTAGGGCAGTGACACATCTTCTTACGTGTTCGATCTGTACTGCAGGATGTTGAATTAGAAATCAAAAGAGAATGTTAAATTAAAACATGAGGCTACTGACAAGGACATTCAAGCACCTACCATTATTTAAAGAAAAACCCGTGATTGCCTTGCTGGTTTGTTGAAAATGATTGTCCAGTCGCATTGTATTTTTAATTGTAGTATTGCATTAAAAGCAGGCCACGAGTCCTAGACTGATCATACAGCATGGATATAAGCAACCTCAAGCAGACCCTGTAATTTGTCAGCCGTTGCATTTGCATGGATTGAAAGGATTAAGGTTATGCCATTGATCCATGGGACAATATATTTATATTATTGGTTTGGCTCAATTTGGTTCCATCAATAGTGACAAATAAAAATCAAGACTGAGTAAATATCAGACAGAATCTGGAGTGAATGAGCGTTGGACCTTTAAACCTTTTTATATTTCTTCATTATAAGTGGAATGATCAGATAAGTAAATCTGTGTCAAGTAGGGCTGTATCCGAATATTCGGTCGTTGGAGTACTATTCGGATTTCGTTATTCGCTTTTCTTTTTTTTCTTTTTTTTTCATAGCAACAACATAGCAACAACAACTTCCTGTCAATAGCGCTAACTCTCCTTCAAAATAAAAGCATGTCCATACAAAATAGGAAGCCAAGCAAAGTTACACTTATGACATAATACAACTGCAACGAAAGTAACACACACAATGCAATATCCTTTTCAATTTCAAAGAACATAAATTGGGTTATATACATTAACAAATAACTATAAAACAACAATACTGTAGACTAACAAAAGTAATGCCTTGAATAAACCGAAATACACGTGTTTAAGCTCGCGCCGAATATTCGCTGCTGATTACTACCGAATATCCGGTATTCGGGACAGCCCTAGTGTCAAGGTTCTCCTTGTCTTTGACAAAACTAACTAGGAAAACAGGATGTTCATATACTCGTGTTATAGTTTTGCCCTTCATATGCATCTGTTGACATACAGCAAAGAACTTTAAATGAATTCTAACATCCGTTTTGAACCCTTTCTGCTTCACAGGGGATACTGCATTTTTTTTTTGTATATAACATCTGAAAATGGAACTTCATTAAAATCCTCTCTTCTCTCTCTGTCTTATTCTCTTTTAGGTCCATTGATGTGTGATGGACGCCTGACACACCTCCTCCTCCCTCTCCTCCTCCTTTTGCGGGCTCCCCCTCTGTTCAGCTTTGGTGAGCGCACCTGTCCAAATAGCTGCCGATGCGAGGGGAAAACGGTACATTGTGATTCAGCTGGCTTCTTAGATGTTCCTGAAAACATCTCAGTTGGCTGCCAAGGCCTCTCCCTGCGCTACAATGATCTACACACCCTGCTGCCGTATCAATTTGCTCATCTGGGCCAGCTTCTCTGGATATACTTGGACCATAATAAAATTTCAGCTGTTGACAGTCGTGCGTTCCAGGGGGTTCGCAGGCTTAAAGAGCTGATACTGAGCTCCAATAGGATCACATCGCTGCACAACTCAACATTCCATGGAATTCCCAATCTTCGCAGTTTGGACTTGTCTTACAACAAATTGGAAGTCCTTCAGCCAGGTCAGTTCCATGGCTTACGAAAACTACAAAACCTACACCTGCGCTCAAACGGTCTCTCCAATATCCCAATTCGAGCATTCCTGGAGTGTCGAAGTTTGGAGTTTCTGGATTTGGGTTACAATCGTATCAAGGCTCTTACCCGCACTACATTTTTGGGGCTTCAGAAGCTAATGGAGTTGCATCTGGAGCACAACCAGTTCTCACGGATCAACTTTTTTCTGTTTCCACGCTTGGCCAATCTGAGATCACTCTTCCTGCAGTGGAACCGCATTAAGGTGGTCAACCAGGGCCTTCCATGGACTTGGTATACACTGCAGAAACTTGATCTGTCCGGAAATGAAATCCAGACCCTGGACCCAGCTGTGTTTCACTGCTTGCCCAACCTTCAAGTACTCAACCTGGAATCCAACAAACTGTCCAATGTGTCTCAGGAGGCGGTGTCAGCATGGATATCCCTGACCTCCATGAGCCTTGCCGGGAACATGTGGGATTGTGGAACTGGGATATGCCCGCTTGTGGCTTGGTTGAGAAGTTTTCGGGGTAGCAAAGACACCACTATGATATGCAGCAGCCCTAAGTATCTCCAGGGAGAAAAGATTATGGAAGCCACAAGAAACCATGGAATTTGTGAGGAAACTGATTACGTTCTGACAGAAACACCCTCACCAATGTCAGAACTAATTTCTGAAGCAACAGGAGAACCAACCTTTGCCCCCACTAGCGCCTCTCCACCAATGCCAATAGCAAGCACCTTTGGTCCTGTCCCACCATACAGACCTCGACCTATTCCTCATCCTACCTTTCCAGGGCATATGAGCAAAGACCCAATAGACTCAGTTGCCCCCACCCGACCCACCCTCATACCACCTCCAGAGCTGGAACACATGACTCTTCACAAAGTGGTGGTGGGCAGCGTGGCACTCTTCTTCACTATGTCCCTAATCTTGACAATTATCTATGTGTTTTGGCGGCGATATCCAGCTGCAACCAGGTTGCTGCCGCAGCGATCCATGGTGGGGCGGAAGCGTCGTAAAAAGAGTCCAGAGCCTGAGCAGAACCTGAGCTCCCAGCTCCAAGAGTATTACATGAGCTACAACCCTGCTGCCACTCCAGAGGCATTGGAGGTGCTAAGCAATGGCACTGGTTCCTGCACATGCACAATTTCTGGCTCCAGGGAGTGTGAGGTATGATTCATCGCATCAGCCAAAAATAACAAATCTAAATCAAAATGCAAAGGCTCAACAGAGAGGTAAATCCTTTATCAAATATGCCCTGTAACAAATACACCGTTGAATCACAGTTAAGCATACTTGACTCTTGATTCACAAACTCCAAATGTTAGACTAGTCCAATTACTCAGGTTTTACTTTTAAAACCATAAAGTGGAAAATAGAGAAAACCTAATTAGATCCAGGGTCTGAGGTTGATTGAGTGTACAATTGACACACATATAATTTGTGTGTTATTTGCTGTATACATGTTATTGTACATGTCAACTTGTAGAGAACATGAATAATTGGACATTATCTAACAATTTTGCATAATACCACATCACATAAGCATGGCATGACTCATTTTTAAGCAATTATGTTCTGGCACTTGTGTGTGTTTCGGGGAGTGTTGTTGGTGGGTTCATTGGTGCCTTAATGTGTGTCTAAATGTTGTGGATTTTTTATCATGAATGGAATCTACTTATATTATATTCAAAATTCACAATGGATTGCGTTTAATTGAATTTTTTGTTTGACAGTTCTGCTGTAACGTAGCAAAGCTATTATGGAGTTGCATAAGAGCCCTTTATTGCAACTGAAAAGTGGAACACATTGAATTGTTTGTTACAAGATCCAACATCCGTTATAGGTGACTCAGGTTTATGTTGTCTTGTTTATGGAGTTGCACTGTGACTGCCTTTCAGATTTTCTCTGGAATATTCCACACTTCCTCAGCTGTGTTGATAGATTTATGGTAATCTGCAAAGAGGAGATGTACTTCGGTAATCCCAAAGTTTATGATATGGCTTGAAAGTGGATCCTTCCACTGTGATAAGGAGTATATTTATAAACCAGGGTAATTACAATTATTCGCTTGGAAACTGAAAAAAGATTTGCATGTTGTCTTTGTTAGATCTCAGGTAGCATGTTTCGGGTATGATAGATTCACCAAGGGTCATATAGAGTTTAGTAAATCATCCTGTTTGATACATGTTTTGTATAAAGGTATGTAAAGAAATAAGTGATAAACACCAAGAGTGTGTGATACCATTCAAAATTGCAATTTGGTGATAAGTTGCTAATAGTTTTAACTACATTCTCACTATACAATCATTTACAAACGTTAGATGTTGAATATATATACTATTCTTTGGAAACAATGCATCAGCTTTTGAAAATTATGATTTTTTTATTTACTATATACTAGGGATGCCAGAAACTGACCATGATCAAAATCGAAAATCGGACAGCCCTGGCGAATAATAATCGATTATTAGGCTTCCTCCAAGTTTACAGTAAAACAAACTGGTGGTGTGACCAATGGCCATTTACAATTATTAATAATATCACTATTATTAGCATTAGTCTATATTTTGGTTGAAACTAAGCCAGGAAAAAAAAAAAAAACATAAATAATAATAAAAATATATATAAATAAAATCGAATTTTAAAAATAATTTTCGATTATGGAGACTGTAACAAATATTGGAATAATCGAATAATCGCTGGCATCCCTACTATATACCCTGTGCTGTAAAATATAGTTATATAACTTACTTGTACAAGAGAACATTTTTCACTTGACCTGAATGCAGCTTTTCCTTTTCAGTGTTGAAAGAAACTGCTTATCTTGGATATTTGGTTACAAATAGCGCAGGATATATTATTTTCCGTGGGATCCATCAGCATAACTGCAACAGGGAACTCAAATCAATATGTCAACTCAATCCGTATGAGACATGCATCTCTTAATATTGACCACGGAGAAGTTCCAGCTTTTATCTTTTTACATGGATTGTAAAAGTTTACTCAAAAAGCCTTCCTGCAGTTCCTGAATTTTCTTTATTGCATCTCTCTCTACGCTGTGTGTTGTTCAAGAGGAAATGTTGACAGTTACAACAAAGTGAGTCTATTTACATGACAAGTCATTACATTTGGAGCTATAGTGGATTGTTGTAGTTGTGCTGAATTATGATTATTTTAAGTAGTGTATAAGCAATTTTGAAAAGGCATTTGTGAAAAACAATATTGTAAGAGCGAAATGGTTTTGGGGCGTTCACGATGCACAACTGAAAGATGTTTTATCCTGCCTCACTGAGAGATTTGTGCTGCGTTGATATATGCATATGATTTAGAAAGGTGGCAGCTAATCAAGCAATCAGTGACTGGAGCTGTCTTCTAGGTGCTCTCTTTGAGTGAATGAGCTTTCAGAGAAATGTTGATTAATGGGCGGAACCAATGTTTAAATCTAAACCAAATTATAATGCTATTTATAGAGAACGCTCCTTTCACATATTCGGCAATCCACCTACGTACTTCAACTACAACTTCAACTACAACTCATAGCTCCATGGCTAGGGTTAGGGAAAAGGGTTAGGAGAAATGTCATATATGCAAATTGTTTGTGCCATGAGATGAGCCACATTCTAAAGTCCACTTTCATCCAGTAAGTTTAAAAAACACATACAATTATGTGGGTTTGTAAACAAAGAAGCTGTTTCTTTAGCATGCTCAGCTACAGCCTCAATAATGAGCATCTCTCAGGAGACAGAAAATGCAGTTGCTGAGTTTTCTTAGAAAAAAAATGTAGGGCTTGTGCCGTGTACATGAACAAAATAAATCCCTGTGTAAATTGCTAAGTACCATTGCGACATCCGACTAATATTGATAGAGCGGGGTCACATTATGCTCCAAACCTGGCATTGACGGATAATCATTTTAAAGCTGCCAACATGCTCTATGCTAAATATACTATGGTATTTCATCAACAAATTCCCATTATTACAAACCCATTTATTTTGAGACTCAAAGACAGGCTCAGAAAAGGTTTATGAGACCCAATCTTAGTTGGTGGCATGCACTGCCTTGTGCCTGATTTGTTAGTCATACATCTGGCACCAATATGCTGCCTGACTGCACTTTGCCACACAACAAAAGCAGGGCTCTGATTCTCTCCTCAAGCAATGCACGTATTTCTGTAGCAATCAGCGTCAGTGTATTGTCTCTCTATATATAACCATAATCCAAATCCAATCTTCTCCAGAACAATCTCTCCCTTTCAAAGACACTGACAGGTGTTTGCAGTAGTTGTTGCAGCGAGTTGGGGGTGCTTCACTGTTGCTTATTTCAGGCGTTTAATAATTGAAGAAGCTGGCGTAAGCTTGGTTTAGTTTGATGAGAATGGGATCTTGCTGACCGGCTCAGTTGGCTGTGTCTTTTATCTTCGGCCTGTGCAGCGCCTGCCGTCTCTGTGGACGGCGATGTGGAGGAACAACAAGCAAAACACCACATTTACCCTGCTGTAGGACTGAGTGAGCTATTATCAAGAATGGTTTAGGCAGGAAATTGTTTTAACCGTGTACCGTCACTTTGGGCCTGGATATTCCAAAAGTATAAGCCCTTGCAAACCAAGACAGGTGCCATTATTTATTCAGGCTAATTGGATTTTGGTTCACTCTGGAGTTATGCTATGATATTGCTGAGATTACCAGAATCTCTTTAGCCAATTTATTTTGTTCTGAGAAAAAAGTGAGAATTCTGAGAAAAAAGTCCGAATTCTGACTTTTTTCTCAGAACAAAAAAAAAAAAAACTTCAAATCCTCCCAAAAAAATAATTCATGTGGCCCTAATCCTCTTCTGTAGTACAGAAGTTAAACGTCAGCAATTAAAAAAGGAAATACAATTTAGGTGGTCTAGCAGTTATTGGGAATATACAGAAGTGTACGATTAAAATAATAATACTAAGAAAATAATCTGGATAAAAGATAAGCCTATGAAGGGCTGAATAATTAGGTATTCCTATATCCAGGGGCAATAGCCATATTTTATTTTGATTGTAATTCAAATAATTGATAGAGCCCTAGTATGTGTGAATGAATGACTAGAGAATTTCAATGATTCTGAATTAAGTCAAAGATCACAAAAGTAGCGCATTTAATTAAAAAAAGGCGAATGTTCAGGCCAATTTTGGATTCAAGAAAAATACATCTAAAGCTGAAATAGGCAACAAGGAAAATAGCTTTCCAAATTAAGATTGCAGCATCAACCAGTCAACTCAGAGAAACTCACTGCTTGACCAAACTTTCCCCAACCGCGATGAGAGAAACTAAACGAGTAAACTCACGTCCCTCCCTTGTTCTAACCTCAAAGCACAGAATGTATTCTCCATTGCCAGAGATATAAAAAAAAAATGGACGAACACTCTTTTTTCCATTTCTCTTGAGCATTTGGATAAAATGTTGTTTTACAAAAAAAAATATATCTATGGATGGTACCCAGTACATTATTAATGTTACACTTTCCTTTGAGCCGTTTACTCCCACACAATTCTCTCTGCTTTCTTTTCTTAAGTTGAGCCTCATCACCAGTTAGATGAACTGCCAGTTATGTTTCATATTTCATTTATATTGACCTAGCAAACATTTAATATATTGTCCATGGTTGTATTTAAGGTTGTTTATGTCACATTCTCATAAATGTTCTGCTGTGAACATGTTGGCAAAAATTGGTCAAACCAATATGCAGATTGTTTTTATTACTGAATATTCTGCATTTGTAAATTGTACACAACAAACATTCTTATTGACAAGGTCCAAGGTAGACTGTACATTGTGTGGGCCAAACGAAACGCATCGGACAACGTCATGTTGCCCCCCCCCCCCGAAGCATACCCTTCCTTATGGTTTATCATACTCTAAATCAGGGATGGGCAACTTGGATGGTGGTGGGGGCCACATAATGTACAGTATGTACTGGCCACCAGGGGCCGCAGATTCACTTGGAACACACACACACAAATTCCATGTATTGTATGTAATTATTAACAAATATACTAGGTCTGACATCTTCATTGACATTTTACAATCTTTCAGGGAACATCCTCGAATAAGCTCACTAAACAATTATCAGTTCACAGAAATGTTATTAAATTTTTACAAGTGGCATGTTTGTAGTGAACAGGTTATTTAACAGTGGAATAAAACTATTTTAAACTATTGGAAAGCACGGAAAATGTGGGTGTATTGAGATTAAC